GCACCGAGAAAACCACAACTTTCCTTTCTTTAAATTTTAGACTGAGGATATTCAGTTGGAAAAGTTTAAAACCTCTGGCAATCCTCAACTACCACACACAATCTGTGGATGCCATCGCTTTCTCAAACTGCCAAGAACAACTTCTGGCTGCTGGTTCTAAGGACGGCCGGATAAGCTTGTGGTCACTTTACAAAGACAACTAGATATAAAGTACTAAATTGAGATGTAATCAGAATTTCTACAATTCATTACATTAAATACATTTAGTTGGTTACACTATGCAGCTTTTCTTGTCATGGCCGAATCCCCAGAATCCCTTTGAAATATTGTCGCGAAAATTTGCTTCGCGGGAAGAAGAAATGTTTCTCGACAAATTCAGAAACATATTTTGTTTCCTAATTACGAACAATTTCTCCTTGGTTTACCCACCTTTGGAAACATGGCTAGGAAACAATGTTTCATGGTTTGTCCACCTTCGGGAAACATTCGGGAATGTTTCTGGTTTGCCCCCCTTTAGGAAACATGGCTAGGAAACAATGTTTCCTGGTTTGCCTACCTTCGGGAAACATTCGGGAATGTTTCGGGTTTGCCCCCCTTTGGGAAACATGGCTAGGAAACAATGTTTCGTGGTTTACCCACCTTCGGGAAACATGGCTGGGAAACAATGTTTCCTGGTTTGCCACACCTTCAGGAAACATGGCTAGGAAACAATGTTTTCTGGTTTGCCCACATTTAGGAAACATGGCTAGGAAACAATGTTTCCTGGTTTGCCCACCTTTAGGAAACATGGCTAGGAAACAATGTTCCTTGGTTTGCCCACCTTTGGGAAACATGGCTAGGAAACAATGTTTCCTGGTTTCTTCACCTTCGGGAAACAAGACTAAGAAAGAATGTTTCCTGGTTTGCCTACCTTCGAGAAACATCGCTAGGAAACAATTAAAGTTTTCTGGTTGGCCCAAGGATTTACAATTTGTCGGAAGAATGATTTTGTATTCACTTGTGAGAACAAATCGCTTTAATTAAGAAATTTCTATCGTCCTTCAAGAAAAGCTGAATAATGTCCAGCCAATTCAACGACCTCTACGAAGTCACATTGTACAGTCTAATTAATAACTTAGTGTTAAATACTGTAATATTCTACAGTGAGATCAGGCTACAGTTTGTATTCACACTAACTCAGCCTGAAATAACGTCCATACTACTCATTACTCACATGAAATTTACCAAAATACTAGCTGATAAAGCATGTTTTCCACTTTAAGCGTATCTATCTCTGCCTTAGCGCTAGAGTGGAACTAATGACTTCAACATACAATAAATTCTACGGTACGCTAGGATTGAAATGAAAAACACGCTTAAGACCCTTCTTCCACTCACCGGACCAATGTATGCCAGAACTATTCACAGTGCGAATCCATGTTACCCTGTTATTCATTTTCAATTAACGTCGTGACTGTTTTAACCGAGCTTCGAGCAAGATCCAAGATTTGAGTTGCGTTGTGTCCTTCCGCCATTTCTGAACAAACGTATAGAGAGTAGAAAATTTATACGCATTCTGTACTAAATGCTTATATAGGCCCAGGGCAAACTACGAACCATTGTCTACAAACATTTTGCTTGTAGAGTAAATTGTTTCTGATTTTCACATACCATTAAAGAATTTGATAATATCCGTGAAGTCCATACTGTGATCAATCAGGATATTCCTGCAAGGCAATGAAAAAGAAATCTTATAGCTTTGTCTTTGCATGCAAACGTCAAAAGTATCGAGCTTTTAGATTAAAGCCAATTAGCTTTCTCACGATGACGAATATCCGCCATTTTTGGGTGGCATCTAATTCTCGTTAACCAATGCAGACAATTAAAACAATGTGAAAAGCAATTTTTCAAAATAAACTAACCATTTACAAAGCAAATGTACCATCATTCGTCAAAAAAATTATAAAAAGTCGCTATTATGTGGACTTATCTCGCAGACTTCGGCTCAAAAGCCACCCAAAAATGGCGGCGTGAGAAAGGCTAATTACAGACGAGCACTTTTCCTTGACAAGTAAAGCCAGTTTACGTTCTTGTGTGTACAGTCAACATGGTTTCCTTGACAAGTTTACCATCTCGTGTGTACGGTCAACAAGGTTTCCTTGACAAGTTTACCTTCTCGTGTGTACAGTCAACAAGTTTTCCTTGACAAGTTTACCATCTCGTGTGTACAGTCAACAAGATTTCCTTGACAAGTTTACCTTCTCGTGTGTACAGTCAACAAGATTTCCTTGACAAGTTTACTTTCTCGTGTGTACAGTCAACAAGTTTTCCTTGACAAGTTTACTTTCTCGTGTGTACAGTCAACACGTTTTCCTTGACAAGTTTACCTTCTCGTATGTACAGTCAACAAGTTTTCCTTGACAAGTTTACCATCTCGTGTGTACAGTCAACAAGTTTTCCTTGACAAGTCTACCATCTCGTGTGTACAGTCAACAAGATTTCCTTGACAAGTTTTCCTTGACAAGTTTACTTGACAAGTTTACTTTCTCGTGTGTACAGTCAACAAGTTTTCCTTGACAAGTTTACTTTCTCGTGTGTACAGTCAACAAGTTTTCCTTGACAAGTTTACCTTGACAAGTTTACTTTCTCGTTTGTACAGTCAACAAGGTTTCCTTGACAAGTTTACCTTCTCGTGTATACGGTAAACATTTATCTCGCGTCAAGGCCGCCTTTTGTTTGTCAAAACCATAGAAGTATTTTTTGTACACTTGTCAAGTTTTCCTTGGCGGCCGTACACACGAACAAATTTTCCTTGTACAAAAGTTGGCATGACTAGCTTTCGAACAAGGCTCCTTGGCATTTGGCAAAGGAAGACGGGACGCCTATATTTCACTCGTGAGGCAGGCTTCGCGAGACAAACATACCTGTAACTTTTTAACAAGGCCAGAGCAATAAAGAGAACAAAATGTTTGGAAGAACAGACACGAGCTGACCAAATGCATTCCCAAACTCGAAATATATCTTCGTACAGAAATTCTGAAAACAAGAAATATATATTGGTGCTTTCACAGTAAATGTTGCAGGGCAGCATACAGTGTTTCATTGAGTCAAACTAGAAACACTCTTCTTACATGTCACTGCATGGGCGGATTCACTTGGGGGGGGGGGGGGTT